TAAGATAGTATATATACAAAATTTAAAAGAATTGGAACCAGTACCTCACATGTGGGAGGAGGATGGGGTCTGCTGGTTTCCTAAGCTAAAAATAAAATTAAGATGCACCAGTGTAATGTAGCATCTCTTCCGGATAAAAAACATTCGTGGGTGGAGGCAAGACATCACTACTACTATCATTATTTTATTTATTAGCTTTCTGTAAAATGTAGATGGATGTCTAAATGCCTTTTTAGTGTTTCTTAGGCATAATAAAAAAATTAAGTTTGTTTACAAAACCCGTTTATTAGGTTATGTTCATGATGTTCATTAGGCCGCAAATGCTACTTAATGGGTTGTATTTACGGACGTAAACAGAGATACGTAAATTAGGTTATAAATATGAACATAAAATACAACAAAATATAATTGGACGTTACTTTAGGGATTATCAGTGGGACGTATCCTATTCGGACAACGGGTAGACCTCGGGCTAGTTCAAGTATATGTACGTCGTGCAAGCCAACGTGGGAACGACGTTGGGAAATTAATAAAAATGGTACGTTGTTATTTTGTACGTCGACAAATCGTTGGATTTACCGACTCGGATCCAACGACGTCGCTTTTAATAGGAAAGCGACGTCACCGGCACCCGACCTAAATTTGCACAAAGTCTAACGTCGCTTCAGGTCAGATTTAGTTCGAAGTCATATAGATGCTACTTGGGTAGCAAACTAATGTTTATTACGGTTGAAATTCCACGGACACATCTCAATATTTAAGCCTGCACCCCATTGGTAACACGCCACGCCACAAAGATTTGTGTATATTTTTCCATTTAAATATCTGTGTGGCGTACACACTAGGCCCACGCCATGTTCAAAAGCGCCGTCCCACACTATCACACGTATGATGGGGATTCAAAAGTCGCAGATCTTACGCGATGCCTGTTAAGGCGTGTTTTTTTCCGGTTGCCTCTCTAGCCTCTACTTTTGTAGTTTATGCAGAATTTTTGTTGTGTGTATGTGAGAAGGTCATCTTACTGAACAAAATCGACAAGAGCGATTAATAGAAAAGGTACGGCTTTACGAGTTCCTATTTATGAAAATGAAATAGATATTTGAAGACAAATCTAAAAAAGAAAATAGTTATTTTTTGTAAACACCACTGCGTTTAATCCAAACGGAAACCAGCTTGTCAGTGGCTTTTTACTAATAAAAGAACTTTGCCTAACCGACCAAAACGCTTAATTTTTCAGAAGATATATCTCCTCCCGTCGGTCGTCAAAAGTAAAAAAAACAAACAAAAAAAAGTATTTAAAATATCTAAATATAACTATTGACACAGTTTTTACCAAAAACGTCTATTTTAAACCGCTGACGTTCTGTTAATAGTTACATCCGAACGAATTGTACTATCTACGCTACTACGTCATAGTAAAATACAATGCGAATAGTAAAACTACTACTACCAATAGTAAAACTTGTTCGAATTGGGTAAAAGCTTATCCTTTTTACTTGGTATTTCGAGTTAAATTGTCGTTATGAACCGCATATTATAATGTTACGTTTTTCGTCTGTTCCGTGTGGATAAAGTAACAAACAATAACGATAAAATATTTAAAGAACTATTTACAAACTCTTTATAACTATTTATATAGAAGGAATTTATTTTGAATTTAGCGCGGCAACTGTACGCGTCTATTTGTTTCTGTCCTCCTCAGGCCCAGGCGTCGGCTTATATACCCACACCTAAACAGTTCTCGAATAATCCATAAGATCATTAGATGCATAAAGAAGATTTAGAATGTTCTCGTATGTACTCCTCCATTCCAGTGGAACTCCATTGTTCTCGAACGTTCGAATGAATCATTACGGTGTTTATTCTTTAATGCGATATTAAGGTCATATGGGGGCGGGACATATAAGTTAGGTTAGCCCGAGTCCACACGGGTCTGCAACAATAATTTCAAATAAACCCTATACGAAAGTCGAGGTCGCGTGTCGCTATGTAGGTACCAGTTACTTCTGTTCGCAACCGACAAAACCGCGACCCTAGGAGCGCGACGGCTGGAACGAAACGCGTCACTATGTATATGTATTTACTGCGGTTAGCATAGCTTCAGTAATATGTTCCTGATACGTGGTGGAGCGCGATACGACGTTACAGAAAAATACTGCTCCAAAATCGCGTTACTCAAATACCGACACATCACTAATTTAAATAGTTCAAAGTTTGCATGGGATTTCCTATATCTCTAACAACGATGCGACACTCAGTATATTTATTTCTGTTTCGTAGTTGAACTAACTATTTATGCTGATACTTTAATGCTATCAATTAGATAAATAATAGTTTGGAAATAGAACGCCATAATATTTGAAGTTTCCAATTCTGTAACAAAATACACAAATTCTGGTGATTTAGTATTTCCTATTAATAAAGGTAGATTCAGTTTCGTGTTATAAGTAATTACTTAATTAAATGGAAATTTTACTCTTTTATAATTAGGTTATACCTGTTTAAAATTAATATTCATAAGATGACAGTAACAATATTTAACAATCGTTACCTTTATATGTAAAGTTAAAGAACAGAAGAGAGAGGAGATCCCCCTACCGCCTAACATCTCGACCCGTCTCTGAGGGAGACAAGCGATGCCCCATATAACTCAAATTTTGAAAAAAAAAAAAATTTTGAAAACGCCTCCTGTTTATTATTTATGGGTCAGTAAGCGAGGGTTTTAGGGTCCGAATTCTGAACACCTGCATCGATTGACTTGAAATTTTAACAGCGAATCTCAGTGAGTGAACAGTGAAATAAGAAAGAAAAGTTACATAGTGGCGATGTGTGCTTTCATCCTGGGGGTTAGTGCCACCCCTTCTCGGGGGTGAAAAATAAATCACCCATTTTAATTCCAAAAATCAATAAAGGGGTAAATTCTAAGCAAAAAATGCTCTATAACATTTTTTCAGAAAGTTCAGTTATTTAGGATTGAAAATGTTGATTTTTCATCAAAAACTGCATATTTTTCTGCCATTTTTTATAAATAACTCGAAAACCTTGCGTTTTATCGCAAAACTCATAAAGCAAAAATGAAGCTTTTGGAATAAATAAACGATTAATTTTTTGTTGATTACCGTCGGTGTAATAATAGCCGAGTGATCACTCGTAAAGTTGATTAATTTATTTTTCGAAAACTAAATTGCAACATTTTACCGTAAAATAATGGCGAAAGAACATATTTATCGAAGAAAATGAATATGTTAGATGATAAGAATTGTTATAATTTATATCAAGATGTTAAAAATCACCGTTGTCATCGAAACATGTTTATTTAAAAAAAAATAGTTTTTAGTTTTTTGATCTGTCAAGATATTATTTAGATTTCTAAAAATAGTATAAATATAATATTCCATTAACAAACGGACTCAAATCAATTTGTATTATACAGTCCACTTAGAGAGATTACATTTGGTCCATTCGCGCCGAATTAGATGTGATACCAGCCTTTTTTCTTGGAAGTTTTCATTGTCGAAGAAAAACGTTCTATTGCCGGCCTGACGGATTTAGAAGTTGTACATCTACGTTGCTGTTTGAAGTCTTTAATGCAACGATGGATTGTTGATAATATGGTTTTGGTGGTTGTTGAAGGCTGAATATTTAGTCAAGTGAGTTCGTTCCGTTAAGGAGATAGGGGATATATATTTGTACTATTGCTTTGTGAGATTTTTTGGGTTTGTCTAGTGTTTTCTTTCAGTTTTTAGGAGAAAATGTCAGAAATTTGTAAATTAAAACGCCAGCGCGGTTTTATTAGAGGGCAATTAACCCGTCTCAAGAGCTATTTAGCATCAGTTGATTCCGAAAACCTCACGGATTTGGTGCTAAATCAGTTGCAAAGTAGATTTGATAAGGCAGAACCTCTTTTGTGTTAATTTGATGAATATCAAAGAGAAATTGAAGCATTGCTGTATCAGGACGAATCAACTTCTTATCAGGGAAGTATAAAAAATATTTTAGATATAGAAAATAAAGAGTATGTCGAATTTGAAAACGAATATTTTCAAATTATAAGTCAGTTAAAATTATTGCTTTCCCGGAATGTTAATTCAAAAGGTAATAGTAATGATTCTAATAGTGAAAGGTTTCCTCCGCCTGCGTTTGTTCAGTCTCCTAGACAATCCAGATTAAAGTTACCAGAAATAAAAATTTCATCTTTTAATGGTTCATTTGAAAAGTGGTTAGAATTTCGTGATGCATTTCAAGCAATTGTGCATGATAATTCTCAGTTAAGTAATGTTGAGAGGTTTTATTATTTAAATTTTTTTTACAAGATGAGCCATTACAAGTTATAGCAAATTTACCAGTTACGATAATTATTTGATTGCTTGGAATTTGCTTATAGAAAGATTTGAAAATAAACGATTGATTATATATAATTACATCAAAGCATTGTTTGATTGTCCGAATTTAATTAAAGAATCTCATGCCAATTTAAGAAATTTATACGATTTATTTAACAAAAATTTAAGGTCTTTAAAAAGTTTGGGTCAAGCGACAGAAAATTGGGATACTTTAATTGTTTATTTTGCTTGTTAATAAATTTGATGGGATTACTCGAAGAGAATGGGAGTCACATTCTATAACTGGCAATTTACCGACTTTCTCTGATGTAAATTTGTTTCTAAAACTAAAATGTGAATTATTAGAGAAATTAGATAATTCTATAAAGGAAAATAAAATAGTCAATAAATCAGATAATAGAATAAGAGCTCATGCATCTGTATCTAAAAATAAACTTTCTTGTTATTACTGTAATAAAAATCATTCGATATACAAATGTTTTGCTTTTAAAAAACTGGACATTTCTAATAGAATGAAGGCAACAGCCTTTTAATCTTTTAACAAAAAGATTAAATATTTGCAGAAATTGTTTTAGTAATAATCATACAGAAAATTGTCCCAGGTCCTTTTCTTGTCGATATTGTGGTAGAAAACATAATTCTTTATTGCATGTTAATTCTGTAGAACAACCTAATCAAAATAATTTACTTAATACTCCTAGTAGTAGTAGTACTACTAATAGTAGAACTGAAGATGAATGTGAAATTTCTACAGCCAAAAATTCTTTACCGATGGTTACTTCTGGACATATTATGAATAGTACAAATGCTGCTACATTATCGATTCTTCCAACAGCAAAGGTTAAAGTTTTTGATGCTAATGGAAGATCTTGGTTAGTTCGTGCTCTGCTTGATCCTGGTTCCCAAAGTAATTTCATTTCTCGAGAATTGGCTGAAAGGTTGCAACTTCCACAATGTCCTGTCGAATTTAATATTACGGGAGTTGGAGAGACACTATCTACTAAGTCAAATTCTAAAGTGAATCTCACGATTATGTCCAATATTAATGACTATAAAGAAAATATATGTTGTTTAGTTATTTCTAAAATAACTCATAATTTACCTGTAATGTCATTTGATTCTCATAAAATAACTATTCCCAAAAATATAAAATTAGCAGATGAATCTTTTAATATTTCAGGTCCAATTGATATGCTGTTAGGCGTTGATACATTTTATCGGTGTCTGCTTATGAAACAGATAAAATATCCCTCTACACCCGTTATTCAAAAGACTAGGTTTGGTTGGATTGTTGGTGGGTATATTAGTTCTTGTTATTTTGATAATAATACGGTTATGTCGTGTCATTCATTAGAGTTGTCTATTAATGAAACTCTTGCTAAATTTTGGGAAATCGAAGAAGGTTCTACGTGTAATAAAATATATTCGAAGTCAGAAGAATTTTGTGAAAATCACTTTGCTGAAAATTATAAACGTGCTTCTGATGGTCGATTTATAGTAAAGTTTCCTTTTAAAGAAAATTTAAATGATTTGGGTTTGTCTCGAAATATGGCTTATAAACGTTTATGTTTTCTTCAGAAGCGTCTCAATAAAGACAAAGATTTGAAAGGTGGGTATGTTTCATTTCTTAGTGAATATCAAAAATTGGGTTACATGACTAAAGTTAAAGGTTTTTCTATGGATAATACTGATTTTAGACAATGCTATTATCTTCCCCATCATGCAGTAATTAAGGAATCTAGTTTAACAACAAGGTTGAGAGTTGTTTTTGATGCTTCAGTTAGAACTGACACTAATTTGTCATTAAATGATGTGCAGTTTGCTGGTCCTACAATACAGAACGATTCTTTTAAATTTTAGAATGTATCCGTATGTTATGAATGCAGATATTTCGAAAATGTATCGCCAAGTTTTGATAGATCCTGAGCAAAGATGTTTTCAGAGAATTTTATGGAAAGATTTAGATGATCCCAAAGCAATGGTTGAATGCTTTGAATTAAATACTGTTACTTATGGCTGTGCTTCATCGCCTTTTCTGGCAGTCAGATGCTTAAAACAATTAGCTTTAGAATTTCAACCTATTTATCCAGAAGCATGTCATGTTATTTTAAATTGCTTTTATTTAGACGATTTATTAGCTGGTGCTTTTTCCATTTCTGAATTGCTGAAACTCCAGAAGGAAGTATCATTTATTTTATCTTCCGGTGGATTTCAGTTGAGAAAATGGCTATGTAATAAATCAGAATTGTTGAAAAGTTTTCAAGTTGATAGTACATTATCATCAAATATATTGCAGTTAGGTAAAGATGAGCAGAATAAGACCTTAGGAATATTTTGGAATTCATCTAGCGATACAATCCATTATTCAATTAAGAAATTTAAATATGAAGGTTCTGTTACTAAAAGAATGATTTTATCTACTATCAGCCAAATATTTGATCCATTAGGACTTTTAGGTCCAGTCGTTGTCAATGGTAAAATTATTTTACAACAACTTTGGCAAGAACAATTAGATTGGGATGAATCTATTCCTTCATATTTATTAGAATATTGGATGGAATTTTGTAATAATATTCAAGTTCTAAATGAATTCTCCATTTTTAGATTTGTGTTATCGGATAATTTCCAAGTAACACATCTTCATGCGTTTGCTGATGCATCAGAGAAAGCTTATGGCGGATGTGTGTATCTTGTTTGTTTCGCCAACGGCGAATATGTTTCTTCTACTTTGCTTGTTTCCAAATCGCGAATTGCCCCTATTAAAAAAATTAGTTTGCCTCGTTTAGAACTTTGTGCTGCAGAACTCGTAACAAAATTAGTTAGAAAAGCCAAAGAGCCTCTAAGCAGATTTAAAATTGAAAAAACTTTTTATTGGACTGATTCTTTAATTACCCTAAGTTGGATCAAAGGATGTCCCAGTAGATGGAAAACTCTTGAATTATTCATTAAGGTGGAATGGTCCTATTAACATATTTTCTAATTTGTCTGATAATGTTCGCACTTTCTCAATGTCGACTGCTAATTTACCTGAACAGCGAATTTTTGCCAATTCTACAATTACTGAAGTCGTACCAAATTTTGATTTTTGTCGTTTTTCGTCATTTATGAAACTTCAAAGAGTGTTTGCATATTGTATACGTTTCATTCAATGTTTAAAACAAAAAAAGGTGCTTTCAGATCCACTCAGTGTTTCTGAGATTATTGAAAGTAAAAATCATTTGCTTCGCATGAGCCAATATCAATCATTTTCAAAAGAATATGTAGCTTTAAAAAACCACCAAACTCTACCCAAAACTAGCAAATTACTTTGCTTAAAACCTTTTATAGACGAAACAGGGTTTATAAGAGTTGGGGGTAGAATAAGAAATGCTCAAATATCTGATGAACAAAAATATCCAATAGTGTTAAGCAACAAATGCGCTTTGACTAAAATAATTATGATGTACGAGCATAGTAAATTGTTGCATTGTGGTCCTCAACAATTACTGTATAATATTCGATTACATTATTGGCCTCTTTGCGGCAGAATATTAGCTCGATCAGTCGTTAGAAATTGTGTAACTTGTTTTAGAGCCAATCCTGTTACATTTAATTATATTATGGGTGATTTACCTGAATGTCGTGTATCTTCTTTCCAGCCAGTGTTTTCTCATACTGGTATTGATTATGCAGGACCTATTTTTATTCGGGATCGGAAAACCAGAAATTCAAAAACAGTAAAAGGTTATATATGTATTTTTGTTTGCATGAGTACAAAATGTATTCATTTAGATATAGTAACCGATTTGACTAGTCAAGCTTTTTTATCAGTTTTAAAAAGATTTGTATCCAGGCGAGGAAAACCTTTACACTTATATTCGGATAATGGTACCACCTTTATAGGTGCTAATTCAGCAATGCTACAATTTATTAATAAACATTCTAATTATGTAAGTACTTGTTTAGCAACTGAAGGCATTCAATGGCATTTTATGCCACCCAAGGCACCAAATTTTGGGGGTTTTTGGGAGGCTGGTGTTAAAAGTGTAAAGTACCATCTTAAACGTATAATTCGTGACACTAGCCTCACTTACGAGGATCTCTCAACGGTTTTAGTACAAATAGAAGGGGTGTTAAACTCTCGTCCACTATCTCCATTGTCATCGGATCCACAAGATTTGACTCCATTGACACCGGCACATTTCCTGATTGGAAGACCATTGACTGCAGTTCCGGAAGATGACGTTTCTAACATACTGGAAAATCGTTTGTCAAATTACCAACGCCAACAAAAAATGGTACAACAGTTTTGGAAACGGTGGAATCGTGAATACATTTCTAATCTTCAAACACGAACTAAATGGTTTAAAGACTTTCCAAATATTCTTAAGTTGGATACGTTGGTATTAATTAAAGAAGATAATCTACCTCTATTCAAATGGAAACTTGGTCGAGTTATTGAACTTCATGAAGGTGTCGATAAAATTACGCGTGTTGTAACACTCAAATGTAGTGATGGTTCTTTATGTAAACGTCCGGTTACAAAATTATGTGTTCTTCCCACAGAAGACTTTTTATTGAAATAAATATTTCAAGGCCGGCGGGATGTTAGATGATAAGAATTGTTATAATTTATATCAAGATGTTAAAAATCACCGTTGTCATCGAAACATGTTTATTTAAAAAAAAAATAGTTTTTAGTTTTTTGATCTGTCAAGATATTATTTAGATTTGTAAAAATAGTATAAATATAATATTCCATTAACAAACGGACTCAAATCAATTTGTATTATACAGTCCACTTAGAAAGATTACAGAATATGACCGTTTGAAAAGACCTTTTAAATGTTTTTTTTTAAAAAGTTCGTAGCTCAAAAAGTCGCGGAGTTATGATATAAAATAAAATGGTCACCTCATTTTTTCGGAAAAAGTAAAATATATGACTAAAATCATAAAAATAAAAACTAAGCGTAATACATGTACAGTTGGCTATATTTAGGTAATAACAATGGGCCCTACAAGTTCGAGTGGTTTAGAATGCCTAAATTTGGAAAAAAGCTGAAAATATATTTTTATTTTTTTAAAAAAAATATTTTTTTTGGCATATCTCAATAACTAAGCAAAATACGTAAAAAATGCAACATAGTAAAATTGAAGGTCTTTTCTTAACATTTTTTCTCTTAGTTTTCTGTAGATCTCTTTATTTCGTAGATATTACATTTTTATAGTTTGACTTGCGTGTAAGGACCATCACCTTCTTTACGCCCTTAAAACACAAAAATCTCGTAAAAATGAAGAGTTCAAGACTGTCCAACTATAGAGGTTAATTTGTAGCTCGTGTAATTTCCTACAAATTAATAGTTTTTATTTTTTTGATTCTAGTCATAGATTTTGTTGTTAATTTTTTTCTGAGAAAATGAGGTGACCATTTTATTCTTATTATAACTCCGGTAATTTTTGAGATACGAACTTTTCTAAAAAAGCATTTAAAAGGTCTTTTCAAGCACTTTAAAAACGGTCATGTTCATTTTCTTCAAAAAAATGTCTTCTTTCGCCATCATTTTACGGTAAAATGTGGCAATTTTTCTTTGTGGCAAATCACTTTTACAGAGTGAGAACTCGGCTATTATTACACCTACGGTAATGAACAATAAATAGATTCGTTATTCCAAAAGCTTCAGTTTTGCTATATATGAGTTTTGCTATAAATGCAAGGTTTTCGAGTTATTTATAAAAAATGGCAAAAAATATGCAGTTTTTAGATAAAAAATCAACATTTTCAAATCTAAATAACTCGGAAAATAATAATTTTCTGATAAAATGTTATAGAACATTTTTTGCTTACAATTCATCCCTTTATTGATTTTTATAATTATAATGCGTGACTTATTTTTCACTCCCGAGAAGGCAGTCACCCCCAGGGTGAAACCACACATCGCTACTATGTAACTTTTGTTTCTTACATAAATCTCTATTCACCGTTAAAATTTCCGGTCAATCGGTGCGGGTGTCAAGAATTCGGATGTAATACCCTATTTTTATCCTCACTTACTGGTCTATTATTAATTTTCTTTTTTCCAATTTAAAAATTCCAATTTTAAAATTACCATCATTTAAGGACCGTCCGTCTACGATCGCGAAGGGCCTCTGACTCTTCTCATTGTGGTTCAAAGGACAGGAGGTATCTGAAATCCTCTGCTGTCCCAAACGTGCAGTTTTTTACTACTAATATGTTACGGGATTTATATTCTCATAGATTTCTTTTCTAATTTTATTTATTTTGGGCTCAATATTGTAATTTTAGGACATTTCTTGAATTTAGTTTATTGTTTTATCACACCTGGAACATTCGCCATTTCTTTAAAATCTAAAAAACAATTTGGTAAATAATATAATTTCTAGGCTAAAATATGTTTATTTACTGTTGCATTACACATTTTCTTTAACAACATAAAAAAGGATCTAATTTCACTGTAAATTTCTCTGTCTCGTACTGCTTTATACGAAAGCTAACTTCAAAGCTAAATACGATGCCTTCTATTTTAACAAGTTAAATTTGGTTTATATTCTCATATTTCACACTGATTCCTTGGAATGTACCATTATTATAAAAATGCTATAGCTTTTTCCATTATTATAGTATGGACTTCACTCTATTTTGAATCGAACAAGTGTTGATATCAGTGTAGCACATTCAATTGTTGAACATCATAAACTAAAAATAAATAAAACGTTTCGTAATTAGTAATAGATACTTTTAAATGGATTACTTACGATGTGTGGCTGATATTTAGTCTCTTAAAGGCTTGCAAAATCGTAATTTTATTGAAATTAGCTTCAGTAGTGTTTTGACAGCGATGTGTTTACAGCGAAACAATATTTGAGGTTACTTTGTAATTTCTTATTCTGCGGCAACGTAAATATCGAGCATATTAGCATTAGCTACCGAATTAGGGTTTGATTGACAGTTATATATATGACATTTATATATGATGGTGACTTTTTGATTGTTTACATTGTATATTGGTTGCGTAATATTATTTTTCTCTAGTACTTTCGATTTATTGGGTTTTTATATTTGACGAATTTCATGTTTTGCTCTTAGGGAGTATGTTATTTGGTTTATTGGCAACATTGATTTGCTGTGCTTTTTTACTGCCCTTTTTGTCCGGTGTTCATCCATGATTTCCTTCTTCTAGAACGATCCGTATTGGTGTGTAGACACGTTTTGGGATCAAGCCTTGTGCTGATACATGTTCTATAGCAAATTCTGTTAAATAATTATTTAAAGTGAATAGTTTTGCCGTTGCACTATTCAAGTGGAGTTTTCCGATCTTTTCAATTATCTTAACAGTAAGAATTTGAAGAAAAGAGTTAATCAATGGCCACATGACATCTCAGGTATGTTTTACGCCATTTTGTAGTTTTTCGTAAAGTAATTTTGAACTTCTTTTTCAGACCATTTAATATAGTTTAACTTCGTTTTTATCTCCATTTAATTTTGGATTTGATCTCCATTTTACCTTTTTGTACTGCTGGATCTATTATTCGTTGCCGTTGCTGCCGTTTCTTCTTGCCATGAGGTCCCTACGTCACCCTTAGAATAAGACGTCACCCGTCCGTGTTCACCATGTAGTTCTGAGCTAACCATCACCTCATCACCTAGCTCATTTGATCCAGAAGACCTTCTGAGACTGACCACTATGGGATATTGAAGCCAGCTCACCGTCCGCCGTCTCCATAAACAGTCAAAAGTCAGCAACCATCTGAGTCACCGACCACCGAGATTCTGGAATGTCCTGATAAGTACCCATTTCATTTCATTTTACTGTTTTGAGTTATTTCCGCCGAACAGTCTTATTAGTCGTTCATTGAGTTTAATTATTTAATTTGCGTATTTAAGATAGTTATAGTTTAACTTCTTTAGATTTTTTACTTGCGGCTCGATCTGTGAATTTACTTAAGTATCGCGAGTACGTATTTCCGTTTCAGTAATTTATAGCGTTTGACATATAACTATTTTGAGATTTATAATATCGATATAACCGTATTAAGTTTAGACACTCTCGCTCAAGTTACCACTTGTGTATTGCTGATACCTTTTGAGCTGTATCGTTTTGTAACTTGCTTTTCATTAATTTTTAATTATTTTAATTAGTATGAATGTACAGCATTACTAAGTCTATTTGAGTATAAGATTTGAATATTTTATTTGATATATTGGTATATTTCTATAATTTCATTCGATATATTGACAACTGATTTTCCCGTCTTAACCCATACATACAATATTTAGAGTTTACGTTTTTATCATTATTGCGTTTTATTATTGCTGCTGAACCTTCTTAATTAAATGAGTTAAGTGATTTCTTATTGTTTTATTTAGTATCTTGTTTCCCACTGTCTTTCAGAAACATCACTTTTACTCTTAGGGTCCAGAAAGTGGGTGGCGTTTATTTATATTTAATTTAGACACATTTAGTTATAATCCCCCCTACTCTCCGTAGAAGCTACCGATTTGGGCATTGACCTGTTCGAGGAGTAAAAGTTAAATAATTAAATAATAACTATTAGTTTATTGCTGTCTCTTTTTCTTATATTATCTCACCGTAACATAGTTTTATTTAATTTAACACAGCTATAATATAAATTATAGTTTTTCTGTTGTCATATGAGGAAAAAAGGTCTTGATAATTTGACACCCTTTTATAGTTTTTTTGTATCAGTAAATAACTTTTTAGATTTTTAATTTACCTTTCACTTTTACCTTTTTTATTATTTTTATTTTCTATTTTCTTTTTTTTATTATTTTTTTTCCTTATGACAAATACTCTAAATACTACTCTTTTACTGCTAAACTCTTAATACTAATACAATAAAGACCTATGCGCGCTCGCCTATATACAAAATTTCGCAACCTTGAAAAATCTAAAGTCAATTCTGACTTTCAGGGTGGCGATGACCCGAAAGTTTAATTGAGTAGAGTTTGGGAGATGCTGAATATGGTCAAAAGGTACTCTGGAAGAACTTTCTACGGTAGGAATGCGATACATTCTAGTAATCTATGAAAAGGGTGGTCGAAAAAAAAAATACCCTTCGACCATCTAATATAATTTAAATAAATTAAATAATGGTTGAATAAATAACCGATGTTGAAAGTACTCTAAAGGGTTGATTAAGTCATGATTACGATTAATCATAATTAAATTGAGCGAAAGTACCGGCTTTAATATTCCCATTTCAGGACTGGTTTATAATGGTATACCGGGTTCGTCTTAAAAGTGGCTCACCTCTTTAACTATTTTAATTTTTTAGATGAAAAATAGAGATTTGGGATATTAGTATATGACATAAATTTTTGTTACTTTATTCAACAGAAAATGATACTCTTAATAGAATGACATATAGTGTGTCAACTGTTGGTATTTTCGCATATGGTTTATTTCAAATTGCAATATGCAATTCATAACGACAATTTGAATGGAAAAATCAAGTGTGTGGTACCAAATTATTTGTAAACATATTATTATTCGTTTTTAACACAGCCATGGCACTCTAGATTGAAGTTTATTTATCCGCAAAAATT